GGCAGAATTGTATGTTGAGAAGATTGTGAGTTTGCACGGTATTCCTTCTAGTATTGTGTCGGATCGAGATCCGAGGTTTACGTCTAAATTATGGACGGGATTGCAAGAAGCTTTGCGTACTAAGTTGCGTTTGAGTTCCGCTTATCATCAACAGACAGATGGTCAGACGGAGAGAACGATTCAGTCGTTGGAAGATTTGTTAAGAGCTTGTGTGTTGGAGAAAGGTGGAGCTTGGGATAGTTATTTACCATTGATTGAGTTTACCTACAACAATAGTTTTCATTCGAGCATTGGTATGGCTCCGTTTGAGGCATTGTATGGTAGGAGGTGTCGGACACCGTTGTGTTGGTATGAATCTGGAGAGAGTGCTGTGATTGGACCAGAAATTGTCCAACAGACTTCGGAAAAGATTAAGAGGATTCAGGAGAATATGAGGACTTCTCAGAGTCGTCAGAAAAGTTATCACGATAAGAGGAGGAAAGATCTTGAGTTTAGCGAAGGAGAACATGTTTTTATGCGAGTTACTCCGATGACTGGTATTGGTCGAGCTTTGAAGTCAAAGAAGTTGACTCCACGTTTTATTGGTCCGTTTCAGATTACCAAGAGAGTTGGGAAAGTTGCTTATCAGATTGCTTTGCCGCCGTCACTTGCAAATTTGCATGATGTTTTTCATGTATCTCAGCTGAGGAAGTACATTGTTGTTCCGTCTCATGAGATTCAGGTAGACGATATACACGTACGAGAGAATTTGACTGTGGAAGCGGTACCTGCGAGAATTGAGGATCGGAAGTTGAAACAGTTGCGAGGCAAGGAGATCGCGTTGGTAAGAGTGGCTTGGGGAGGACCAGCAGATGGAAATGTCACTTGGGAGCTGGAGAGCCAGATGAATGACTCGTATCCCTAACTGTTCGTCTAAGGTATGTTTTCGAGGACGAAAACTCTTTTAGTTGGGGAGAGTTGTGACACCCCAAATTAATTCAAGTATTAAATAATTAGGAATTTAATTATTAAATTAATTAAAGGCTTAATTAATAATATTTTGGATTAAATGGATGAATTAATTATGAAATTAAAAAGGAAGACCGGGGGGTGTAAGGTTGAATTAGAGGTGTGTGAAGTAAAAAGCTCTACTAAATAATAACTAATTTATTACTATTATTTGGAAAATAATAATAGGAATATAAAAGAAGGATAAAAAGGAAAAGAAAAAGAAGTTATTTAGGAAAACTCATTGTACTTGAAATTGGAGAAGAGAAGAGAAGAGAGGAAAAAGCCAAACGCCGTGAATTCGAAGGATCATCTCGAGGAAAGGGGTGATTTCAATTATTTAATATGCCTTATAGATTTTGGGATCAATAGAATTGATTAAGCATGTTAGGAATCTCAATTTACGATTTTCTAGGTTTGTAGAATTTGTTCCTAATTGTGTCAGATTATAGGAATTAGAACCATTAATGTGATGGATAATTAATAGGAATGATGGAAATATGATTTATGATGTTGTATTGATGTGTATTGGTTGCATTTTGGTGTTCCTAATGTTATATTTCGTATGGGTATGAATTGGATGAGATTGGAATGAATAAATGCTGTCAAAATAGCAGTTTTGACTCTGCAGGTCGTGGGAACCGGTTCCCAGTGGGGAGGAACCGGGTTCCACTGTGTAAACGTACAAAAACTAGCAAAATTGCATGTAGGAACCAGTTTCTGTATAGGTAGGAACCGGGTTCCCATACATTTTCCAGAAGGGTGATTTTTGAGCTTCGCAGGAACCGGTTCCTGTATATGTAGGAACCGGGTTCTGCTGTAACTTTTTGAAAAATAGTAAACTTTGAAAATTCATAACTTTCAAACCGTAAGTCCGATTTGAGTGCCGTTTTCGGAAGTATTTCTTAAATTAAAAATACTATCTTATAAAATAAGAAAAATATTATTTTATGAAAATTATTTTAAAAAGAGTCGAATTCCCGATTTTTGTAAACTTTGGTATTTTGAGAATGATGTAGAATTGTTTGTAAATTATTCTGATTTGGTGATGAGAACTGATACTTATGTGTTGTGCCTGCTATCCATTATGATTGAGATGTGATCATGTGATATATTGGTTTTGGCATTATTTGGAATTATGTTGTGATCATATTCCGTTGATTTGATGTTGCATGCTGGTGATGTGCATGCATATGCATTGTTTTGGTGAAGTTAATTCCCATTATGTAGAATTTGACTTGTATTGCCGTTAACCGATACCCGGGAAATGATGGGTGGTTAGGCTGGATTCGTGTCCTGGTGTTTATGGACGAATCGATGGTTACTGTATCTGGTTGATGATGAATCAGTGTTGGGTGACTTGGTCACGTGATTGGTACCACATGCATCGTGTCTGCATTTGTGTTTGCATGGAATTGTAACATGTTAGCATTGCTTCCAGTGTTACAATTCTTTGGTTGATTATTGATTTGTGCATAATGACTTGTATGATTGGAACTGCGTGTTGAATCTGAATTTATGATAAAATGGGTGAAATAATATGCTTGTGATATAATGTTGATTGAGAAGCTTATAATGCATGTTAATTATGAGAAATCTCACCCTTACTTTAACAATTTCAGATTAAAGTTAGCAGCTCAGGAGTTGGTGAGGATGGCTCTAGAGTTATGTTACTTTAAGTCTGCGTGTTAGTGTCGTGCTCTGATAAGTTGTAACACTGGGGGAAACGTTTGAATGATGAGTTTTATTTTATACTCTATTGTTTAATTCATGTTGGGAATACTTATGAAGTGAAGTTATTCCGGTTTTAAGACATTTCCACTGTGTAGAACATGATATTGATTTGAATATTCATTTTAATAATTCCTTCAGTAAAGTATGACAACTGTAGATTTGAGGTTTTTATATTTATCTTGATTTGTGACATCCCTGTTTTCCATGTTACTCTGATTTAATTAATATTATTCGCGGGTTATTTAGAAGGGGTGTTACAATATGTACTATAATGGGGAAGGGTACTGTATCCTAAAATTCAAATCATTCAGAGATGGGGATGATGTTTTGCTGAAAGGCCCTTATACGATAAGAAACATGTTGATGTTGTTACAAGAATGGTGCCCTGATTTCAACCTAAAGAATAATATGCTAAGAACTCTGCCGATTTGGGTGAAGTTTCCCCAACTTCATCTCTTCCTTTGGGGAGCTACGTGTCTCAATAAGATTGGAAGTGCTTTAGGTAATTTGGTTGTCATAGATGAAACTACGGCCAACAAATGGGATAATTCTTGTATGTATAGGTGTGTTACCCCTACAAGGGTATGTACACTCAAATGTCTTAGTATGTGTATAACAAATAACAATGGTTAGGAGTTATCCTTGGCAGTGAGGAGTCATGTGTAGTAATATTTTGTGATGGTTTAAAGGACTTTCTCACCTGAGGTGTGATGCTCTGTATAATAGTATGTTGGGTGTGATCTATTATAGTTAAACTTTGTCCTTAGATTCTCCTTTTTGGGTCGAGGTATTTTCAAAGGCTTTTTGGGCCTAGGATTTAGAAAATCCATAGGGGCGGAAACCACTCCCACATGACTAGGGAAGATTGTTGACCCCTTTTTCTCAAGGGAGTCGTGGACTCATTCTTCTCTGACTAACAAAGACAACGATATTATACGATCATTGTTCTCAAGGAAAACACCCTGTTCTTTGGATATGTTTCATAGGCGATACCACCCTTAAGAGAGGATAATCAAACCTCTATTATTTAGGCATTCTCAGAAATATAACACTACATAGTCACTCGAGCACAAGAACTTTGTTAAGGGTGATGTGTTTTCAAGGTTTTTTCAACCCTCCTCTTTTAGGAGAGTTCCAAAGTTAATGAAATTTTTTTATCAAAAGGCGAGTCCCTCTGTTTGATGCGAGTCCCCCGGCTAAAAGTGATTTTTTATTAAGAGGAGTGTCCCTCAGTATAAGTCACATTGCTCAACTGAAGTCTACTTTTTATTAAGAAGCGAGTCCCTCAGTCGAAAGCGAATTCCTCTTAGATAACTAGATGGTATGGTGATATATCCAATTTCATTTTGATTGGATTAAAAGATAGGTAAATTACAAAAGTAATTTTGATCTTAATTTTATATATATATATATATATATATATATATATATATATATATATATATATATATATATATATATATATATATATATATATATATATATATATATATATATATATATATATATATATATATATATATATATATATATATATATATATATATATATATATATATATATATATATATCTTTTAAATATATTTTATAAAAAGTGATTTTAGAAAATGATATTACAATTTAAAATCTTAATATAAAAAACTGTTTTTTTTCACTATTTAACCTAGTTTCAACTAATTTTTTATTAAAACTATCTTTTATTTTTCTATGCAAAAAATATAATACTATAAACAATATATAAATTAGTGCTATCTTTTTCGGCTACAATCTAGAACAGTATACTAAAACAAACTTATGGCCACGCTTATAAGACCGTGGTAAAAATCAAATAGGAGAGATTAATGTTAACCACAGTTTGAAAAATAAAATAGGAGAGATTAATGGTAGAAAATCTTATATTTTCTTGTAGTGAAAGATTAAAAAAATAAAATAGAAAAATTAAAAGTGCATTTAAGTTTTTGAACTTTTACTATATTTGGTTTCTTTCATTGTTGTATTATATTTTTGAAATGTGGAATATTAGAAATAATTTTTATAAATTTTTTTTTTCTTGTTGTTTTCCAATTTATAATTATGGATACTTTTCATCATATATAATCCAATTTTAATTATAAATATTAAAATTTCTCATTTTTACTTTTACCCTAATCTGAATGACAATTTTTCTTATAAATACCAACTTCAACATTGGAGTAATAAATCAACAAAAAGAAATAGCAAATCAGTATTATAGTGTAATGGCGAACCAAATGTCAAAGTCTTTTTGTTTTTTTGCTCTCATGGCTTTAGTTTTTGCAGGTAATAATATTCTCTACCATTGTCACCACTGTGCTTAAATTATAAATCTTACTAATTTTTCTTCATTTTTTTTCAAATACAGTTCAATTTATTCAGATAGATGGTGAATGCACGAAAGTTGTGGGTAAATGCGAGGTAGCTGAGCCTGATTGTAATACTCAGTGTAATTCATATGCAAGAGGCCGTGCTAATGTTTTAAAAGCATCATGTTCATCCTTAAACTTGTGCATTTGTACTTTCGATCGACCACCACCAACAGGAGAACCAAACCCTACTTGTAACTAAGATGAGTTTTGGACCTGTAATAGGGATATTTGTCTCTGTACCTGTACCCCTTAAGATTCTACTTAATTGAAATAAATAAAATAAACTATTATTTTCTCTATTTCTTAAGAAGTGTTTTATTTTAGGTTATTTTTTCACGTTACCTAAAAAATGATCAATTATCAATTATGATGTCTGGCCAATTATAAGCATATTAGTGTAATTCTTTATCATCAAAGTTGAAATCAACATTGTTTTAGTGGTTATTAGTGCTGGACTTGATAGGGGAACTATGATTCGTTCCCCCGTAACTGTGATCGAGAAAGGGTTAAACTAATTTGATGGCAGAACTGATCCCCAAATCGGACTATATCGGTTGTGAAAAATAAGTAAAAAATTAAAATAATTTTTTTCAATTAAAAATATATTTTTTATTAATAAAAAATATAAAATTAATTATATTATAAAAAACACCTAATAAAGAAAAATGAAAAGTTATCCTTAAATAAATAAAATAATATTAAATGACAATATGGTTAAAATACATTAAAAAAAATATATAATAAAAATATAATTTATGAATGTTTATGTACCTTATTATTAAATACGAGTTAAATGCATATATTACCCAGATTTTTTTGGATAATCTAGAACTTACCTTATTTTTTGAAAACACTTTTGCCACTTTTGTCTCCTATAAAAAATTGGATATTTCTTGTACGGATATATGTGTTGCCCCTACAAAGGTATCTACACTCAAATGTCTTCGTATGTGTATAACAAATAACAATGGTTAGGAGTTGTCCTTGGTAGTGAGGAGTCATGTATGGTGATATTTTGTGATGGTTTAAAGGACTTTCTCACATGAGGTGCGATGCTCTTTAGAATAGTATGTAGGATGTGATGGTTTCAAGGATTTTTCAACCCTCGTCTTTAGGAGAGTTCCAAAGTTAATGAAAACTTTTTATTAAAAAGGCGAGTCTCTCTTCTTGGAGCGAGTCCCTCGACTAAATGTGACTTTTTATTAAGTGGAGCGTCCCTCTTCATAGGTAAAGTTGCTTAACTGAAATCTACTTTTTATTAAGAAGTGAGCCCCTCAGTCGAAAGCGAATTCCTCTTAGAGAACTAGATGGTATGGTGATATACCGAATTTCATTTTGATTGAATTCTAAGATCTGAAAACGTCAATCAACCTTGAAAGGTTAAGTCCTTTAGTGGAAAAGAGAGTATGGATTTAATTTAATGTATCTCATGATGACATTCTTTGGGAAAATCAATTTAGACCCTTTTGTTTACACGTTTATTCTAGATTTAGAGACCTTTCTGTTTCTCGTGGAAATTACCATATTGGTTGGATATATGACTTGCGCTATTGGATTTCCCATATATTTGCTTAGCGATAATCTTTTTCTTTTCGTTTTATTTCCTACTTCACTTTTCTAAGGATTCAATTATTTTATCACCTTTACGGACTACAAGGAACACACTTTAGGATCATGTAACTTGATCGCCTCGATGCGCGACAAGGATATCACTTAAGGATCCAACTATTATATTATCCATATGGGTGGTAAGGATCCATCAATTTGATCACCTCTAAGGGAAGTAAGAATCTTACTTAAGCGTCCAACTATTTGATCACCTATATGAGCAGCAAGAATGCCACTTAGGGATTCACCATTTTGATCACCTCTATGGGAAGCAACAATCCCACTTAAGGATCAAGCGATTTGGTTTCCTCTATGGGAATCATGGAATCCTCTTAAGGATATAGAAATATTGATCGTCTCACATGAAAATCTACTCTTGAACTTTTAGGTTTTACTGCAAAGAAAGAAATTTCCAACATACACAAATTCACAAAAAAATAAATTGAGTGGCCTCTTTAAAAAAACTCATCGCACGACAATCACAGAGAGTAAAGAGAGAATCTACAAAATAAAAATTGCCTTACAATCAATAGAGATGTAATACTTGCCTAGAAAAGTCAAATACCAAATAGCTAAACATCGACAAGAAAAACAAGTAAAACGACTACAATATGGGTGGCTCTAGAGGGCATCTATTTTGGGCCTTAATCTTTGATTTCTTCATTGGATGACCCCCTACTCACCCTTTGGAGAGGCGGGTACTTAATGCATAAATACATAGTGCACAAGGTGGCGACCAATTGGTTAAAAGTTAATCTCCCTATAATCAAATTATAGGAATAAGGCACATCAATTACTAGATGATTGACCTTTATTTATTTTGCCTTGTCCATCTCTCAGAAAGTTTTTATCAAGGTGATTGGTAACACGCAAATGTACCGCTTATTTTACTCGATTTTCACATGTTTTAGTGTCGTTTATATCACATTTTGCTTCTGTTATGTTGGTATTGTGTGTTGTGTTTCAGGTACCAATCACTTTGCGACCTCTACGTGAAAAAACGGAGAAACAATGCGAAAACTCCAAGAAAAACAACACTAAATAACACTTTTATGATGAAGCTTTCACCACATACCATAAAAAACCGCGGGTACATGTGAGCGGAGCAGAGTGCCTTGCTTTTTTATAAAAATAATAATAATAAATCTAATCCCTCGGCTTTAAATAAAATCTACATAAGAATATGTTGAGAGTTTGATTCCCACATCTTGAAATTTAATGTTTTTATGGAACCAACAAGGCGCATTTATTTTTTAAAGATTTTAAGTCAGATATGTTACCTCGATTTTCAATAAATCTGAGATAAAAACTCCCATTTTTTTATTCTTTTTACAACTAAAGAAGCGTCATTATTTTGAATAAATTTTATGTCGGATATGTTATCTCGATTTTCAATAAATCCGAGATAAATACACTTTATAACTTTTATTCCCTCACTATCTCAATATCTTACATTAGGGTGTTCTTGCAAACATTATTTATTGTTCTTGTGTACTACCATAATTTTATCCGGACAACCATAACAATTTCAAATATAACAACTGTATTTTATTTTTTCTAAACTCAAAAAATAAATATAAAAGTAATAAAAAGTAAAAGATAATAAAGAGTTGTAATTTAAACAAATAATATCAGTATTTTAAATATGAATCTCACTCTTTTAGATTTTCCCAAACAATCATATCAGTATTTTAAACTTCATATCCTCTGAATCATTCATATTATTACACACTTTCAAAAACACAATAAAGAGTTTTCATTCACTTTGATGAACATTGATAACACTGAATTATTTCACTTTATGGTCCTTTATTTCTCTTTTATTTTGCTTTTATTTTAGTGAAACAAAAAAAAGTATAAGGACCAAAAGAAAGAAGAAAGATCAATTTAATTATATTTTCACTTCTAAATATTTTTAAAAAATTGAATTTAATTATATTTAGCTAATACTATTGTTATTAAAAAAATTCAAAAAAATAAAAGAGTCACTTATATTAGCGTATATATTTAACAAAAAAATACCGTTAATTTAAATTCATTGAGTTATATTTGTATTGTTTGAACTGTTTGGTTTTAATTAGTAAATTGAGATTTTGTTTATTTAGAGACCAAATTTCAAATTTTAAATAATAATAAATAATAATAATAAAAATAATAATAATAATAATAATAATAATAATAATAATAATAATAATAATAATAATAATAATAATAATAATAAAATTGAGAGTTTGTCGAAGTTCAATTACATCAAATCATATTTTTAATTGAGTACACAATTAAGCTTAGGACAGGAAGCCCCGTCGTACTTCGCAAAGGCATGTGCCTTGAACTTGTGTGGGATCACCACCCCAGAAGACAAACCTAGGTCTCCAAAATCCAACCCGGGCACATGTTGAATTTCCATGGCACTTAGACGGTCCTCTAGCTGTTTGTACCTGTCCTCAGCAGGAGGGTACTACTCATCATTGTAATCTGTCTCGTTGTCGGAGACCACATGACTAGGAACCCTTTTCTCTTGGGGATTGTCTTTCCCTACAGAGGAAGTAGCCATATCAGCCTCATTTTGCAGTGCATTCCCAAACCTCCGTCCAGTGTTGAACAACACCGTCCTCTTTTTCTTCTTCTTCAAAAGCAGAGTCTTCAATTCCTGTTGACCCTGGGCTAAGCTCATGACCAACTCTTGTAACTGGGCGTTCTGGGCCTGGAGGGCCTTGATAGCTTGTTCAGTAGTATGTTCAGAAGTCATGATGATTGCTGAAATAAACAGCGAAGAAGATTAAGCAACCTGTAGAAAAGAGTACCTGTGATGCATATGATGAATGGAATGCGTATGATTTATGTTTTCAAAGACAATCGGGATTCAACTTTGTAGACAAAAAGGAAACACACTTTATTAGATTCAAACTTTAAATTGTTCAAGAAATTGCCCTTAGGCGTTACATAAATAAAAATACTGAAAAGGAAATGAAAGCTGTAAAGGAAACATCCAAAGCCCATCAGTCCTCCCATGGTCTCTTCTTCTCAGTACGGATATAGTCATTCAAAATCCGCTCGTTCTCCAATTTCTTGGTCAGCTTCTGGATCTTCTGTTCCTGTTCATTGAACCTTTCCCGATAAGAATCCCGCTCTTCCTGTAGTTGCGCCCAAGACCTCTTTAGTGTATCAACATCAGTGGGTATCTGAGGAGGGAGTACAGTTGGAGGAACCCCGTCTCTATCAGGAAATTCAAGAATACTAGGTCTGACGGCTTCGTATGGCATACCTAACTTCTGGGCACGGATGCGGACCCATCTGTAGTAGGATTCCATAGGCAGAGAAGTCTTCGGTCCCAACTCATGTGGGTCAGCTTTATGAATCCTGTCCCAAGCCTTGATGAATCTACGACGCAGCTCGTCACTATCTACATGAAACTCAAAACTGATGTGAGGTACCAACATCTCATGAGGTCCTGCTCTTCTGGCTCTTCCAAACTGACGGAGAGCTAAACATGGATTATAAGAGATTCCTCCCTGGGTACCGATCAATGGAACATTAGGATACTCTCCGCAATGATCAATAACAGCTACCTCATCCAAACCTCTGAGAGTC